TGTGTGTGTGTGTGTGTGTGTGTGTGTGTGTGTGTGTGTGTGTGTGTGTGTGTGTGTGTGTGTGTGTGTGTGTGTGTGTGTTCACCTATTTATGCTCACCTAGTTGTTGTTGCTAGGGTTGAATCATGGCTCCTGGCCCCGCCTCTTCACTGATCACTACTAGGTCACTCTCTCCCTGCTCCATGAGCTTTATCATACCTCTTCTTAAAACTATATTGGATCCTGCCTCCACTACATCACTTTCCAGATTATTCCACTTCCTGACAATTCTATGACTGAAGAAATACTTCCTAACATCCCTGTAACTCATCTGACTTTCCAACTTCCAACTGTGACCCCTTGTTACTGTGTCCCATCTCTGAAACATCCTGTCTCTGTCCACCTTGTGAGTTCCAATCAGTATTTTATATTTTGTTTTCATGTATTTCCCTAAATCCCTTGTCCTTCTGTGTCGTCAGGTTGATTTTCGTTAACCTCTCCTCGTAGGACATACCTCGTAGCTCCGGGACTAGTTTTGTTGCAAACCTTTACGATTTCTTTAATTTACTGACGTGATTAACCAGGTGTGGGTTCCATACTGGTGCTGCGTATTCCAATATGGACCTGACGTTCACGGTGTACAGTGTTGTGAATGACTCTTTACTTATACATCGAAACGCTGTTCTAAGGTTTGCCAGGCGCTCGTATGCAACAGCTATTTTTTGTGGATGGGCGCCTCAGGAGATATGCTCGGTGGGATGCTCACCGAAAATCCTCTTCCTTAATTGAGTTTTGCAGCCTTCCTCCTCTTAGGCGGTAATCCGTCTGCAGTCTTCTTTGTGCTTCCCTAACTTTCATAAATTTGCTATTGCTGAGGTTAAATTCTAAGAGCCAGTTGTTGGATCAGGCTTGCAGCCTGTCCTGATTTCTTTGTAGGCTTACCCGTTCTAAGTCCGCTTGTATTCGCCTCATTAATTTAACATCGTCTGCGAATAGGGACATCTCTGAATCTATGCCTTCCGTCATGTCATTCACATATAGAACAGCATCAGACATAGGATTGACCCTTGTGAAACCCCACTCGTCATATGCTCCGTCCCTGATACCTCGTCATATAACAACACATTGTTTCCCTCCTGTCAGGTACTCCATGAACCACTTGAGTACTGTCCTTGCTATTCCTGACTGCTCCTCTAGCTTTTAAACCAGCCTTTTGTGCGGTACTATGTCGAAAGCCTTCTTACAGTCCAAGAAAATGCAGTCTACCCATCTCACTCTTTCCTATTTTACTTCTGTTACCTTGTCATAGAGCTCCGTGTGGTTTATGATGCAGGATTTCCCCTCAGTGAAGCCCTGCTGGTTTTTACGTATGAGCCCCTTCCCTTCTTGATGCTTCGAGCACTATTCTCGTGATCTTCTCCATGATGTTACATATTACATAAATCAGCGACACTATTTTGTAGTTTGGTACTGCCTGTCTGTCTCCTTTCTTAAAATTCGGGACTACATTTACTGTCTTCCACACCTCAGGCAGTTGCCTTGTTTCGATAGATTTATTGAATATTGTTGTTAGTGGCATACACAGTGCATCTGCTTCCTCTCTCAGGGCACAAGGAGAGATATCACCTAGGCCCACCGCCTTCGAGGTATCCAGCTTCCCTAGCAGTTTCTTCACCTCCTCATCGGTTGTGTGCAGTGTGTCCGGTACTTACTGATGCATCTTACCACCTCAATCTGCTGTAAACCTCTCTGTCTCTACTGTGAATACCTTCCTGAACTCTGAGCTGAGCTCCTCCCAAACTTCCTGGTTGCTCCCTGTGAGCTCTCTTCCTTCTTTCCTCAGCCTGACTGCATGGTCCTTGACTGTTGCTTTCCTCCTGATGTGGCTGCATAACAACTTTGGTTCAGATTTGGCTTTTGATGTTATGTCATTCTTGTGCTGTGCTGATGCTGGGCTTCTCACTTTATCCACGTATATTCATTTATGGCTCTTCAGCTTAACTCCCTGTTTTCCTGAGTCCTTTGCTTGTAAAATTTTTCTATAATTTAGCACACTTGGCTTTAGCCTCACCACACCTCCGGATAAACCATGGGCTCACTCTGGTCTTTCCCATCGTTTCTGTTGCGCCTTGGCACGAACTTTTTCTCTGCCTCTCTGCATTTTGTGGTCACGTGTTCCATCATTTCATTTACTGCCTTCCCTTTTAGCTCACTTACCTACTGCACTTCATACATGAATTGCCTCATTTCTGTGTGGTTCTTTTTTTGGAAATTTGGCTTATTCCGTCCTTCTCGTACTGCACCTTTCTCTATTCTTAATTCTCCTATGTATTCGAGACTCAGGACCACATGATCGCTAGCTCCTATGGGTCTTTCGTGTGTAATATCTCCTATGTCTGCACTGTTCAAAGTGGATACAAGATCTAGCTTTACTGATCATCTCCTCTCTTTCTGGTTGTGTTCCTAAATTGTTGGTACATAAGGTTTTCCAGCCCTGCCTCCTGCATCTTGGCCCTCCATGTCCTTATGGTTGAAATCCCCACTGATGAGTAACTTTGCTCAGTTCATGTTGTTGGGCCCTTCTGGCCACATCCGGTAGTGTGTTCATCATGGCTCTGTTACTCTCATTGTATTCTTGCGTTGGCCTCCTGCTGTTCGGTGATGGGTTGCATATCACTACTATTATCACCTTTGTTCTCCCCAGTTTGAAGTGTTTCTATTACGTAGTCAGCTGCTACACCTCTAACTAGTCCTTCCAACTCCTCCAAACTCCATTGGTTTTTAATGAGCAGTGCAATCTCTCCTCTTTTTCAGTTCCCTGTGTTTCCTCAGGATCTGTTATCCAGATAGGAAGATTGCATTTATCACCCCTATGATCCTTGTCTCTGTGAGTGCTATGATGTCCTGGAATTTCTCAGTGATTCTTTCCTGCCACTTCTCACGCTTGTTATTCATTCTGCATTGGTGTACTATACCTTCAGCTTCCTTTCTGTAACTGTATTCTAAGGGGTGGGAGGGGTTGGTGCAGGCTGAGGGTGTGGAAGACAGGACTGGATATTTTGGTAGGTTGCCATTGTGGTGGTATTAGTGCTGAAGGAGGGGGGGGGGACTGTAGTTGTTAAGTGTGGGGCTTGCTGTTGGTTGTGTTTGATTGGTGTGGGGTGGTAGGAGCTGAGGAGATGCTCTGTGTGCTTCTGTGGGAGGTTGTGTTCATTGATCCCCCTTAGGCTGTGCTCCCTTGTGTGTTGATACCTGCCCTGTCTCCCCTTCCTGCCTCAGGTACTTTCTTCAGGCACTTCCTTATCAGTTGTTCCCATTCTTTTTGTGTTCTCTCTTGGTCGAGGTACACTCACTGGTATTTTGGGGAATCCTTTAATTTTGGTTTTCCCTGCAGGATCTTGTTTTGTACCTTTTCCATCCTGAATGTCAATTTGATTGTGCAGTTATTTTCCCTTGAGTACCGCCCAAGTTGCTGAAAATTTGTCAGTTGGTTCATGTCCTCCACTGTTACTGTTATGATGCTCTCAATCTCTTTTACCACCCACTGTCTTCTTTCGACATAGGTTTTCCCTTAAGTCTCATGGAGACCATGAATAATAAGTGACCTCTCTCTCTCTCTCCTCTTCCCATTTTGTTTCCCTTCATATCTCTGGGTCCAATTTATGTATCCCCTTTGTTGTTTACCTTACAGTCTTCCAGTTGTCCGGTGGCCTGTTATCGTTTCCTGGAGGGAATTCTTTGCTCTTTCACTCCTTCAATCCCCTCACTGTCTGCTGATGTTCCTGCACCCATCACATTGCTCCTATCAGTCCCTGCCTCTATATTTCACTTCAGTACTTCTGGTTCATCTGCCAGGTTCTGCATTCTTGCTTCAGGAGCAATAGCTCATAAGTCCCACTTCTTGCTCTCTGTAGATATCTTCACCAATGTGATGCAAAACTCGCATTCCACTCGCATTACATTGTGCTCTGGATCCTTTCCGTCAATGCTTCTTTCTCAGCCCGGCTATCTCCGGTTCCCTTGCTTTTTAGTCCTTCTATTTTCATTTGTTTGTGTGTGTGTGTGTGTGTGTGTGCGTGTGTGCGTGTGTGTACTCACCAAATAGCAATCAGTGAAGAGGCCCTGCCTCCTCACTGGTTACTACTATATTCTCTCTCTCCCTGCTCCATAAGCTGTATCTAACCTCGTCTTAAAACTATGTATGGTTCCCGCCTCCACTACCTCACTTTCTAGGCTATTCCACTTCCTGACAACTCTATGACTGAAGAAATACTTCCTAACATCCCTTTGATTCATAGGAGTATTCAAATTCCAATTGTGACCCCTTGTTTCTGTGTCCCATCTCTGGAACATCCTGCCTTTGTCCACCTTGTCAATTCCTCGCAGTGTTTTATATGTCGTTATCATGTCTTCCCTGACCCTCCTGTCCCCCAGTGTCGTCAGACCGATTTCCCTTAACCGTTCTTCTTCGTAGGACAATCCCCTTAGCTCTGGGACTAGTCTTATTTTGTGTGTGTGTGTGTGTGTGTGTGTGTGTGTGTGTGTGTGTGTGTGTGTGTGTGTGTGTGTGTGTGTGTGTGTGTGTGTGTGTGTGTTTGTGTGTGTGTGAGACTTTTTTCATTCCCTCTTAGCCTCGTATGCTCTATTGTACCTATTCTTAAAGCTGTGCATATCGCCTTTTAATAAAGCATATATTATTGTAATCCTTGTTAATACATTCGTGGGGAAGTGTTAAAACCTTAGGTGTCATTCCAGGCCTGAGTAAAGGAAGGTAATCAAATTTAATCTAATAAAGGGGATTACTATTAAAAATTAATGAAGCATTTTCATATACAGAAGAACGAGAGATAAACTTGTTGTTATTGCGTATCTCGACGTTTCAGAACTGTTTGAAGCGATGTCAGACATATTTAGAATTTTAGCCACAACAGCTCCAGTTCCTAAGACTTTTCAGTGGATGGAGTAAGAGTTTTCCATAAGTTCCCGACACCCGTTTACATATCCTCTCTCCCTCTCACTAGGTCCTGGAGGGAAAACAGCTGAGCGTCCTCTTCGGCGTGACGGAAGCAGACGGATACCCTGAACTCAACAGCAAGCAGGCCACCGAGGGGCTGGACGTGCAGGAACGTAAGCGACTCCTGAGAACTTACGTGAGGAACATCTATCACCACCACCTTCAGGAGATCTACCTGGCCATCACCAAGGAATACACGGACTGGGGCAACCCAGCTCAACACCCCGTCCAGGTGAGTTAACGCAAACAGGGCATATTAGAAGGACACGAATTCTGATATTAAAACATTTCTTGAGGGCACGTTTCGCCCACTAGGAGCTTATTCACCCCTCCTAAGCAAAACCTACAGCAATAACTGCCTTAGTGCCTGCATAGGTGTCTCTTAAATACTTGAATGTGCTAATCAAAAAGTTTACGTTAACTTTTTATGTACTGTGCAGAAAACCCAGCACCAGTACGACAGTATAAGCTCAACCATTTGACAAATGCATGAAAAAAACGACACAGTTGAAGACAAAACTTTACTTAGACATTTAGCCTTTGGAGTAGGTGGAACGTCAAGAAGCCTGAGACGAAACGTCTCAATATAGTGGAACTCTGCGATTTGTTTCCCTTCACCTGTTGTTTTTGCGCCATTTGTCTCCACTCTTACAGACTCGGGTCAGGAGACACTGCCGTGTTCCCTGACAAACTACCACTAACTTTCCACGAAGACTTTCCAAGTATAATTAACCATTAAGTACCATTGTTCAACGATGACCGCAGAAAACTAAGGAGTGTGGCTTCTTCGGGGAGAAAATCACGTTTGCAACAGCGTTATTATCATTATTTTCACGGTGTAACGTGAAACCAACGAAATCATACATCGCCTGTGAAAAGGAAATCAATTAAATTTTATGCCAGTATCCTGGGCTCAAATCTAATAAAATCAATATCACAATGTTCCAATGGTGTATATATTGTGTAGACCTAGACTATGTACCTGTGAAAGGCTTTCATCATTTTTCCACGACTAATTTATGTACTTAGTGTCACTCGAAGTATCCGGATCTCACCAAGTGAACTTGACTGCTCTCCGAGTTCCGCTTCTACCATAAATATTGATAGATAATATTCGAATCCACAAATTATTAAGACTCAGGAACGGTCTTCGACCGTGTAGAGAATGCTAAGCCGGTGCAACCCTGCAGAGTCACGCTGAGACAAGTGCTCAGAGAAGGATCAGAGACAAGAGAAAGCCGTCTTATATTCAACTGGGTCCACGAGGCCACTACTGAAAAATATCAACGATTAATTGATATAATAAGAGAGAACATGAGTAACTGAATATAATACATCTAATATAGGAACATGAGCAACTAGATATAATACTTCTAATAATAGGAACGTGAGCAACTAGACATATTGCTACCAATGTTAGTAACATTTTTTTACTAATATCAGAATTATAATATATTAAAATTTATTCTTCACTGATGCAATTTATATACTAGTGGATGAATTTGTGCAGGTACGTAAAAGAAGGTGAATCAAAGTGAACACGGAAAATGCACGGTGATGAGAGCAACAAAAACATATAGGAAATTAATGATTGGATGTCAGTTTAAAGGGAGAGAGTATGGTGGAGGTAAATGAGTTTAGATATTTGGAACGGAGTAGCCGGCAGATGGGTTCATAAAGCAGACGAGGGGAGAAAAGGCGGATGGTGTACTGAGGCATCTGTTAAAACTTTTTATTATTAATATTATTATTAGTAGTAGTAGTAGAAGTAGTAGTATTAATGTTAAGCCTTAAACCCATATGGGTCATTCAGCGCTAGACGTAGTGGAAGCTTGATCCTCCGTCTCCTCTGCGCGAAACAGACATGCTTTCTACTTGAAGACAAAGACCCTTTTCCTTGGAGATAAAAAAGGGGAATGTGCCAGATTATAGCGGCACCAAAACTGTTATATGAGTGTGAAGAATTGGGTTTAAACGTTGCAGCGAGGAGGAAACTGGAGGCAGATGTCGTGTTTGAGGGCTGTATGATGTGAATATTATTCAGAGAATTTGGAGGGAGGAGATGATGAGGTTGAAGGGAGTGGTAAGAGGAGGCTCTGAGTGCTAAGGAAGAAACATTTAACAGGCTTACGCGAGTACGGTAGACTGAATCGAGTGGACACAATTGATTTTTATGACTTGATGTGCTGTGGAGTATTGGCAAGAGAGCAATTATGAAGGGTTTCAAGAGAAAATTGTTAGAGGATTTGTATTTCCAGGGAAATACAATACCTGCACTCTGAGGGGCGGGTGTAGGTGTTCCAGTTCAGAGGGCCATCTAAACTGTGATGTCAACACACCTCTGGCAAGACAATGACTGAATGAATGATGGTGAATGTGTTTCATCCGACGGGAATAAAGGTTGGTGCGTCGTGTTGGTGATAGTGAGAGAATAACACTTGTCTACCGTGCTGTATCAGGTCCGGGACCTGACGGTGGAGGCACTGAGTGACGGAGGCTTCCTCGCCCCGCTGGCCAAGTTCGGAGAGACTATCAGCGGACGAGCGGACGCTTACATGTACGTCTTCAACCACCACGAGAAAGATCGACAGGTACGTCCCAATTTAGTCACGTAAATTGTTCCCACTTTCCCATTCTGTATTGCAAATTGTGTTCGTGTCCCAATCTGGTAATAAGACCAATTTAATTCATATTTTTATAAGTTTTAGAGACGTTGATCTAATAATTGCTTATTAATGGATGTGAAATAACAGGTTTAATTGTGGTAATAATGTAGCTTTTAATTTTTCCGCCATTATTATTATTATTAATTTTATGAAGCATTAACCTGACGTGGATCATTGAGCACAATGAGTGGTGGAGGGTCGATCCTCCGTTCGTCCGCTAATAGTAACACGGTCTTTGCTTTGCCAGTATCTGTGGGCAGAAATCCGTGCCCGTTGTTTTCAAGTCTTCGCAATGGGAATGATAAATTACTCCCGGATTGTACATGAATGGTATACGATACCGACAAGATGAGAACTAGACACATATGCAGCATCTGGGTATCTTTAATGTAGACGTTTCGCCATTCAGTGGCTTTATTAATACAAATTCTAGGACATAATTTGAAGACAGTAAAACTGTATACAAAAGATAAGGTAAGCAGTCCCTAAGCCTTGGGTTCTTCAGGACTACGGTGCTCTTCACACCAACTCTAAGGCTAAGGGACTTCTTACCTCATCTCTTGTGTATAGTACTATTGTCTTCAAATTATGTCCTAGAATTTGTATTGATAAAGCCATTGGATGGCGGAACGTCTACATTAAAGATACCCAGAGGTTGCATATGTGTTTAAATTTACTCACGGATTACCAAGGAATGACGTTAATTGACGGTGTTTTTTCTCCCCTGGTGTTCTCCGCGGTGTTTCAGCGGCTGGGCAGTGTGTTCGGATCTGAGGTGCCCCTGGTGTTCGGTGCCCCGTTCATGGACAACCCAGGCCACTGGACTACTAACTTCACCCGGCCAGACGCACTCGTCTCAGAGCTCATCATGAGATACTGGACCAACTTTGCCAAGTCCGGGTAAGTCCCTCACATGTTTTTCTATAATGCATACCAGCTTAACCTTAATCCCTAAGTTGTAGCACTGGGATGATTCTTTGATGTAGTTCTTGCCGGTATCTTCTGCCACTTCCGTGGTTTCAGTCACGTCAGTGGCCAGTCTTCCGTGGTTTCAGTTACGTAGGTATCCAGTCTTCTGTGGTTTCAGTCACGTAGGTGTCCAAAATGGGAAATTGAACATTTCTTCTGTAATCGTGGCACTAGAAGCAATATAAAGAAGAAAATGTTCAGCTTAGCCTCTCTCGAAGCAACTTTGTCACTGATCATGTGCCACAATGTGTTTGAAACATAAACAATCACCAAAAGTTCTTGGAGGTTTGAATCAGATACCAGATGTCCTATGGAGCCCAGGAAGCACATTTCAGCGTGGAAACCCCCATAAGTGAGTCACAAATTATTGTAATTTATTCTCAGATGATTCACTGAATACAATGACTATAGCTTTTCACCGTAAGTGCTGATTAGAGGTGACGTCCTGTATGGTGGCGTCTCATCAACTATACAAAAGGGTCATTAAGACGGCATCTTATCTGTTTACCACCAGTCAAAGGATACTTTATTTCACCATCACTCAACGGAGGTTTGAAAGACAATGATAAATTCCTACAAGTGGAAATATAAACACGGGTAACAGAGGATTATTTTCAACATGATCATCTGTTCCCAGTGTTTTTGATAAATTATCAGACACCTAATTTATCTTTTTGATAAATTAGGTATCTGTGTTGTGGAAGCATTTCGCCAACCAGTGGCTTCATTATTCCAATACGAAGAAGATGATGATCAGAACTGGTTTGAGGTAATCAGTCCCTCAGCTTGGAGTCGATGTAATCAGCATATGCGCGAAAAGGGGCTCATATACTGCAGATAGGTGAAGTGCAGTAGATGTAGGCGGTGTCACCTTGCCTAATTTATCAACTTGTCGGTTCTCTGAACCATTTATCTACATTCCTATCAGACAGCAATATCTTGATATCTTGATACAAGGAATTGTACACTTGCTTAAACCTGTAGGCATAGCCTACTCCGACCTATGGATTTTTCCAAGGTCACGTCACACTGCCTACTACTGCTTCACCTCACTTATCTGCAGTATATAAGTCCTTTCTTTGCGCATATGCTGTATTCTTATCAATAATGATGGACTGATTACATCGACACCAGGCTGAGAGACTGATTACATCGACACCAGGCTGAGAGACTGATTACATCGACACCAGGCTGAGAGACTGATTACCTCAAACTCCTTCTGATCTTCACCATTCTTCTTTGTGTTGAACTGATGAATCCATTGTGTGGCAAAACGTTTCCACAGTAAAAAAGTACCTAAGTGTTGCACATGTGTTTAAATTATCAAATTGTGGGTTCTCTGAACCATTTATCTATACCAGAGTGTTCCCAACGGGTTGGAACTCATCGCAAGCCAACACTGAACCAAGCAGGCCAGAGTGTTAACCACCGCCCTGCTAGTATTAGTATTGGATTGGTATGGATTCCAACTCTGCCCTTTCCGTAAGTTGCTTACGGAAGTGTTTTTACGACCTCGCAAGCCAATACCTGAATCCGGTATGAGACTTGGACCTGCCTCGCATGGGCCAGTAGGCCTGCTGCATGGTTCCTTCTTTCTTGTGTTATGTTCTTAATCTGGGAATTAAGCATACATACTGAGGTATACATCTCTCCAGGTGTATATACACTGTTACTCTCATACACAACAAGACAGATAAATTTATCACAATATATACCAAGTATAAAACTTTCTTTTAAACCCAATAATTGAATAAATATTCAATATAACACAAAGTTCCTCAAACGATTCCAGGAAAAAACAAATTCTAACAAGCGCTCTGACAAATTATAATTAGAGAAAGGGTGCAAGTCCCGAGCCAGATTTGGAAATAAACTGCCCACCTTACTGTCAATGTTTACTTTTGATATTAATATCAGATGGTTAGATGGCTATGTAAAACATTATATTTGATCCACCTGAGACGTTTTTCACTAACCTCAGCAGCATGAGAGTATCACATATGTTGACGTACCGTGGTTTGTTGACGTACCATAGTTTGTTGACGTACCATAGTTTGTTGACGTACCATGGTTTGTTGACGTACCATGGTTTGTTGACGTACCATGGTTTGTTGACGTACCATGGTTTGTTGACGCACCGTGGTTTGTTGAAGTACCATGGTTTGTTGACTCACCATGGTTTGTTGACGTTTGTATAATAAAACAGAGAAAGCCAACTTGATGTGGAGAAGAAAAGAAACAGGCTGAAGATTAAACATTTAGTGAGACAGCGTTTCGCTCTGTATACTATTTTAACAAGTCATGTTTCACTCTATAAAGAGCTTTATCAGTTTATTTTTCGATCTGTATAGGGCTTTATCAAGTTATGTTTCGCTCTGTGTACAGCTACATTGAGTCATATTTCTCTTTAACGAGAATTATCAAATCATAGCTTGATAAAGCTTTACTCAGGGCGAAGCGTTGTCCCAATAAAAGCTTGTTCTGCAGTTTGTGTCTTTTTCTAACTGTTGTTGGCAGCATGGCATTTGCATGCGAATGCAACAGTATAGACCTTAAAATAATAATGTAATCTGCATGGCGGCATAGAAATATTTCATCACGTGCCTGACAGGGACAGCACCAGAGACAAAGACAGGCAGTGACAGGCAGAAACAGTGATAGACATAAACAATGACAAACAGAAACAGTGATAGACAGAAATGTAGACAGACAAAAATGGTGATGGACAGAAACAGATATAAACAGTGTTAGAAACAGGCTGTGAGACAGATACAAGAAAAAATAACAATAGATGAGTGAGGAGTCCAATGAGTCACCACAACAACAACCACAAAATCTACCACATCAACCACAACAACAATGGCTGGATGAGTGAAGCAGATAGGGAGTTACCACAACCATAGCAACCACATCAACCACAACAACAATGACTGGATGAGTGAAGCAGATAGGGAGTTACCACAACCATAGCAACCACATCAACCACAACAACAATGGCTGGATGAGTGAAGCAGATAGGGAGTTACCACAACCATAGCAACCACATCAACCACAACAACAATGGCTGGATGAGTGAAGCAGATAGGGAGTTACCACAACCATAGCAACCACATCAACCACAACAACAATGGCTGGATGAGTGAAGCAGATAGGGAGTTACCACAACCATAGCAACCACATCAACCACAACAACAATGGCTGGATGAGTGAAGCAGATAGGGAGTTACCACAACCATAGCAACACATCAACCACAACAACAATGGCTGGATGAGTGAAGCAGATAGGGAGTTACCACAACCATAGCAACCACATCAACCACAACAACAATGGCTGGATGAGTGAAGCAGATAGGGAGTTACCACAACCATAGCAACCACATCAACCACAACAACAATGACTGGATGAGTGAAGCAGATAGGGAGTTACCACAACCATAGCAACCACATCAACCACAACAACAAATGGCTGGATGAGTGAAGCAGATAGGGAGTTACCACAACCATAGCAACCACATCAACCACAACAACAATGACTGGATGAGTGAAGCAGATAGGGAGTTACCACAACCATAGCAACCACATCAACCACAACAACAATGACTGGATGAGTGAAGCAGATAGGGAGTTACCACAACCATAGCAACCACATCAACCACAACAACAATGGCTGAATGAGTGAAGCCGCCACAACAACCACCCCCACAGCAACAACACTAACCATAGCAACCACAACAACCACAACAACCACAACAACTACAAAAACAACCACAGCAAACACAACGATTGTATGAGTGAAGTAGCCAAGGAGTCACCACGAGAATCACAGCAAACACAACAGCAACAACAACAACGACTAGATGAGTGAAGCAACCAAGGAGTCACAACAACCATGGCAACCACAACAATAACCATACTATTACGAACACAAGTGCAGATATGGCCTGCACACTTTGCTGTAATGTCATTACTGCTTGGGAACAAGCAAAAAACAGCAGAGAATAACTAAATTATATTTCCTTCACCGAAACAAGCTGGTATTTTCAGTGTATTATAGCCTATGTACAGTACTTACACTATGTACAATGAGGCAAAAGCAAGCATAAGACACGGTGATCAATGAGACAAATGCAAGCACAAGATACTTTAAACTGTGATGAACAATTGTGATAAACAATTGACGGAAAATTGCACAAATCAACACACAGGAATGAATGTTAGAACTTTATTCAACATTTAGAACTTAATGAAAGATTACAGTGAAAATAAATTACACTGATTTGCTAATGCACTCATGAAAAATAATTAAAATTACATTGCACACGGAAAATATAATAAAGAGAGGCAGTAAAACACTTTAACAAGCAATACACATAATTCCGTAAGACGCTACTGATGGCTGCAGTGTCACTGACTCAAAATTACTGAAAAAAGTCACTTGGAAGAAAGATATTTCACTAGTGTTAATACTCAGTTTTAAATATTATAGTTTTACATGAATCTTACTATGTGCACTTGAAAAATATCTTAGCATATTATAATGACATGATATAATGTCACACACACAGGGGTTTATAATATTCAAAGATAAGAGAAACTAAAGTGCACTGAGGTAAAGGTACTACACTAAGATATGTACATAGAGCCTGTCAAATATGTCTCGAAACAAAAGTGTCAAATAATTTTACACAAAATGCTATAATATCCACAAAAAAGGTCACAACTCTTAGTTTAAAGATAAGAAGCTGGAACAGTGAATCAAAGATAAGCACTAAATCCCCAATGGTCATTCAGAGATGCTGGAAGAGTTGTTACACGACCCACAGATGGCCACACAAGATTGAGCAGACGACACTGCATCACTGTCTTAGGAGAAACAGCAAATCTAACAGGAATTTGAGTATTTAAATTACTTACACACCTTGTGAGAAATC